CCAACGAGCGAGGGGACTCCTAAGACTTTAGTGCGGCTCGAATCCGGGGGCGTGGGGGGTCCTCCCAAGTCCCAGTCAAGATCTGCAGCTCTCCCTCCCTTCCGCCCTCCCTCCCTCCGCGCGAGCTAGAAGCCAGGCCGGCTGTTAAGTAAAGCAATGGGTGAGGTGTGGAAGCTAGCGAAGTCACAGAATGTGGAGAACCTGGGTGAGCGGGAAGCGCGGTTGTGCCCGTACTGAATTCACAAACAAGCGAGGAGCGACTAGAAGAACATCCAGTTCATTGTGGAGAAAACAAAAAGAGAAACCAAACCCGGCAACCCCCAGAGTGAAACACTACCGGGAAGAGGCAGATTGCTGACCCGGGTGGAGGTGGGGTGAGCGTGGGGGGCGGTCACTTGCTCCGGAAGTACTGTTTCGTTAGCCTCTGGTCTTCCGGGGCAGATGTCGTCGTAGCAGCTGTAGGGAGGGGAAGCCATTTTTTGTTTCTGGGAAGAGTAAGGAAGAAACCGGGAGAAAAGCGAGGGGGAAATAAAGAGAAAATAGAAGGGCTCAGCCCTTTTCCTCTGAACTGAAGATAGGAAGCAGTTTCGACTGGCGTGTGAGGTCCCGAGGGCCCAGAGATGTTCTCCCTGTCGAGCACTGTGCAGCCCCAGGTGAGCCCAGGCTTTAGCCGTTTTCCTGCGGCCCTTTTGCGACTGTTTTCCGGATGCTGTCGTAGAATCGGTTTTTCTGAAGCAAAGTAGTGAGGGAAGCGGCCCGCGACCCGCGGGACTGGAAGTAGGTCAGGGGACAATGCTAAGAGTATGACCTGACACTTAAAAGGATTGGCAACCAAGCCTAAGAGGGCAGAGGCGTGATCTTACAGTGGTGGAGATCACAGCTTATCCGATGGCTTGCACAGAATTTCTGCTAGGAGACTTCAGACATTGTTTGGGTTTGTACATTCGGAGATGGTTTGTAAGTCTACGCGAGAGGTAAAGAGGACAAGTGATGTTCTTTCCATCTACCGATTTCTGAACGCCCCCTTTTTTCCCCTTCAAGCAGAATTTAGCCCAAATATACCCTAATAATTTTTCTCTCTGGCTAGATTTAACTAGTATACATTTTTGAGTCATCAGAGTCTTACTATTAAATATTTTATTTATTTTTATTTTATTTGCGTTGGTGTTTTGCTGCATGTATGTCTGTGTGAGGATGCCAGAGTTACAGGCACTTGAGAGCTGCCTTGTGGGTGCTGGGACTTGAACCCGGGCCCTTTGGAAGAGCAGCCAGTGTTCTTAACCACTGAGCCCTCTCTCCAGCCCCCACTATTAAATATTTTAAAAATCGATTTATATTCCATATTTTCTGGTTATTTTTCAGGACCCAAATTGTGTCAATGTTTTTCCTTGATTCATTAAATTTTTTTTTGGATAACAGACAATGGTTTTTAAGAACATTTAGAGCTGGGCGGTGGTGACACATGCCTTTAATCGCAGCACTCGGGAGGCTGAGGCAGGCAGATCTCTGTGAGTTCAAGGCCAGCATGGTCTTCAAAGAGAGTTTCAGGACAGTCTCCAAACCTACAGAGAAACCCTGTCTCAAAAAGACAAAACAAAACAAAAAACATTTTTATTCTGGCCGTTTTAATTAATTAGTTAATTTATTTTATTTACTTTTTTGAGGCAAGGTCTCACCGTGTATCTTTGCTGTCACAGAACTCCATATGTAATCTAGGTTGGCCTTGAACTCAAGAGATTAGCTTTCATCCAAAGTGCTGGGATCAAAAGCACCTCACCAGACTTCTTGTCTTTATATGATTATTCCAGCTGGGCTTGGTGCAGGCCTTTAATTCCATGACTTGGGAGGCAGAGGCAGGCAGAGAATCTAGACAAGCTTACATAGTGAATACTTGTCTCAAAAGGCCAACCCTCCCCACTCACCCCAGAAAAAGAAAAAAAAAGTTTAATTCCTATTACTCCCTTTGCTGTGTGTGTGTGTGTGTGTGTGTGTGTGTGTGTGTGTGTGTGTGTGTGTGTGTGTTTCTGTGATTATTGGCTGACTAATAGAGAGTGGAATTGTTTAGCTGCTTCTTGGGCAGCAAGAGAACAAAGTATATGTGGATTCTTATTAGTGGTTGGAAGTAAAGGCAAACAGGAAATTTCAGCCAGACAGAAAACTCTGTGTGTCTGTGTCTGTGTCTGTGTGTGTGTGTGTGTGTGTGTGTGTGTGTGTGTGTGTGTGTGTGTGTGTGTGTGTGTGTGTGATCTCCTGTGAAAAACAAAAGTAAGGCCAGTGTGGCAAGAGCATAGTGATTAAAGGGAGCAGGAGTGGTGTCAGAGCTGAAGGTGGAGAGGAGCTTCAGGACAGCTGAGGGAGTTTGATTTGGTTTCTGTGACCAGATGTTCATTTGTAGGCTTTCTGTGGTTTCTTGTGTGGGAACTAAGGAAGGGCAAAAGTGGAAGTGTTGTGGACTAAGGATGCTGTTGCCCTAACCCAGGAAAGGGATGCTGCCCCAATAAAGTGGTGTTTAGTCATTATGGAAAAGAAGTAGATATGTCTAGTGTGGTACCTCTAATTCCAGACCTTAGGGAGGGGGGCAAGAGGTTAGGAATTGGCAGCCAACCTGTCTGAGAAAAAAAAAAAAAATTCACTTGGTTCTAAGTGTGGGAAATGGTGGAAAGTGATGCTTCTGTTTTGGTCAGCTTGATACAGGAAGATGGCTGTTTTCCAAGATGAAAATGTCTGGGGAAGTTTTAGTAATTGAAAAATAAGCCCAATAGGGACTGTTGAATATAATATAAACTTCTATTAAGAAGACATAATGAATAATTTACTGTCATGGAGTAGAAGTCATAACATGGTAGAAGGGCAAAAGAGAGCAAGGTGGGAAACCCACTGGTGACAGTGTCAATCTGTTCCTAAGAACAGGACTTCCATGACTTAAATGCTTGTTTGTTTTGGGTTTCATGAAACTGGATCTCCCTTTGTAGCACAGAGCAATTGGCTTATTGCTAGCTCCTAGCTAAAAGCCTCCTACTTCTTACTGCTGTTTTAATGGAAACTGAATCCAGCATGAATTTTAAAGGAAGTATGCCTTCAGATCACAGCAAGAACTACAATAAAAGCTAATTTTTATGTCATAGGGATTAAATATTTAAATTATGAGCATTGGTATATAATTAGAGCCCATTATTTTATTCACTCAACAAAACACTTGTTTATCATTCCCAACTCTTAGCTTGGAATGCAACATTGAATACTAAAATAGAAAAAAGTCCTTGCCATATGTGCAATTTTGTGAGGTTCTTAGAATTTCTTGAGTTATTAGTAAATCATAAGCCCCCATGGATTACATCTGTGTTTGTCCCAGTGAGGTGGCTTGAATCTGCAAATAACCTTAGAGTGGGACTGGTCAGATCAGATAATTTCAGCACACTGTAATTGAGCTGCTAGGTAGTGAATTCCCATTGGTAGGGTGTTAGTTATATCATTAACTCCAGAGAGGATGTCCTCCACTGGGTGTTCTTTCCAGGTCTTGTCCAAAATACTTTTTTTGGTTCATTTCTGTTTCTTTTTATAGATGGGTAAATGAAGTGTTTTCTTGTGTTCTTTGGGCCATTTCTAACCCAGGGAATGAAGGGGAACATAATGAAGGGAGGTACTAAAGAACCAAACTGGAGAAGATTTTCAGGTTCTACAGGTACTAGATTTTAAGCAGAAGAGTGATCTAACAAACTTTCATTTTAATATGATCACTCTTATCTACCGCTGGGAATGTGTGGCAGCTGGACAAGTGCCAGAGCAGGTGAGTAGATGCTGGAATTTAGGACAGGATGTGGCAGTGGGGAAGTACAAGATCAGAAAATACTTGGTATGGACTTTTGCCATATTTTGTATTCTGTGAAAGTGAGTTTTATTTTGCTACTTCCCTCATGGTAGTTCTCTTCAGCTTTTCATTTACTTTAAAATTATGTTGATACAAATTATCTTATTAGTGTGCATGCATTTGTCAAATTATTTCCTTTAGGATAAGTTTCTAGAAAGTAGACTTTGGAAGATGAAAAAAAAATACATATTTCAAATCAATAAATTTTTGTGACATGGTCACTGTGTAGTCCTGGCTGGCCTTGAACTGTATGTAGACTAAGCTAGCCTTGAACTTAACAGAGATCTGCCTGTCTTTTCCTCCCTAATGATGGGATAAAAAGCTGTAGCACCGTACTGGCTTTTAACATATCCAGAATAGTATCATGAAAGAATAAAACATTTTTTTTCTACCTCCAGTAAATGAGGATAGACAATTTTGTTTGTTTGTTTTTGTTTTTTGAGACAGGGTTTCTGTATGGCTTTGGAAACTGTCCTGGAACTAGCTCTTGTAGACCAGGCTCGTCTCAAACTCATGGAGATCTTCCTGCCTCTGCCTCCCAAGTGCTGGGATTAAAGGCCCGGCAAGGATAGACAATTTTTAATGTCTTGTTTTGTTGATTTTTTTTTTTTTTGCATGTCTATGTGTGTAGATTGTGTGTTTGGGTTTGAGTGTTTGGTGCTAGAATCAAACCTAGACCATCCTGTACGCTGAATATAGCTCTACCCCTGAGCTATAATATCCCAGCTTACCTATAATTTTGACATCTGGTATATGTTAACTTTTAACAGATCCTAAATCCTGACCAGAAAAGAGATTGTTTCTGTTATATTTTTAAAAACATGCTGCTTAATTGGAGCTTTTATCTTTTTTCTAGGTTACAGTTCCTCTCAGTCATCTCATCAATGCCTTCCATTCACCAAAAAACATAGCTGTTTCTGTCAATACATCTGCTTCTCAAAAGCAGCATCGAGAGCATGTTCCTGAGCATGACACTCCCAGTAGTGAGGTAATAGTTATCTCAATTCTATGAGAAAGCCGTTTGATATGGTGAATTTTAATCGTATTTGGTTAAATATTGTCATTTGGGCATTTGTAACAGTGCTTTCTGCTTTCAGCTTAATCTTTCTAATTAAAGGTAGTTAATTCTTGCTTTTGTTGTATGTATTAAGAGTATTAGTTTATTTGATTATTGTTTCAAAATATTTATATGATGCCAGGTAGTGGTGGCACATGTCTTTAATACCAGCACTTGGGAGGTAGAGGTAGGTAGATCTCTGTGAATTTGAGGCCAGCCTGGTCTATGGAGTGAGTTCCAAGACAGCCTCTAAAGCTACAGAGAAACGCTGTCTTGGGAGAAAAAAAAATTTTATATGACATTGTATTTGGTGTGTACCTTCCTTATTACTCTTTGTTGATACCAATTAGTTTTTCTTCTTTTTAAATAAAAAAGTCTTAAATTTCTTTTAGTTATTTATTTTTATTTTGTGTCTATACATTTTTGCCTGTATGTATGTATGTGCCACATACATTCTAGTGTCCATGGTGATCAGAATAGGGTGTCAGATCCCCTGAAACTGGAGTTATAGATGATTGTGAACCACTATATGGGTACTGGAGCTGAACATGGTCCTTTCCAATAGTAGAAAAAGTGCTCCTAACTGCTGAGCTGTTTCTCCAGCCCCTTTTCTTCCTTTTAAAAATAAAATAAAAATTGACATTTTCATACATGTATGTAATGTGTTTGGTCATTTTCATCCCATCTCTCTGAATTCTAACAAGTCTCCCCTCCTGTTTTCATGGCTTTGTTGTTGCTGTGTTGGTTTGGCTTTGTTGTTTGTTTGTGACTCACCAAGTTTAACTAGGGTTACTTGTAGGAGTAGTGGGTTATTTACTGGAGCATGGGCTATATTCCTTAGGGAGATGATTCCCCTCCCACAGTAACCATTAGTTGGCAGTAGCTCCTCTGGGAGGAGTGGGACCTTGGAACTCACAGGTTACTAAAAATCTTTACCTCAGTCTCAAGGAAGTTATCAGCATAGTAATGCCTTCATTGTCTACCATTTAGTATGATTAAACTAATTAATTAAGCACTTAGTGAAATTATAGATAAATTTTGGGTAATTAACTAGAATTGGGCATGGTGATACATCTGAACTCTTAATCCTTCAGGGGCCCAGTCTGGAGGATTGAGAGTTTGAGGCACCCTGCACTCTAATCTTAAAAACAACCAATTAAAAAACAAACAACAGCTGGGCACACCTTTAACTCCAGCACTAGGGAGGCAGAGGCAGGCAGATCTCTGGGTTCAGGGCCATCCTGGTCTATAGAGCAAGTTCCAGGACAGCAGGGCTACATAGAGAAACCCTATCTTGAAGAAAAGAAAACAAACAAACAAACAAACAAACAAAAAACAAAACAACAAAAATAGAGTATAAGTACTTGAAAGTAAAATCTGTAAGCTAGGAAACTATAATTTCAGGGTTTATATAACCATAAAGTCAGTGATATACAAGGATACAGTAAGCTTTCAACCTAAGAACTTTTTCTATTTGTAAACTTTATTAATAAGATAGTTCAGAATGTACTTTTTATCAAAGAAAATGCCAAGTTTTCCAAAACCTTTTTTAATCTATAAATACCTAATGTTCTTAGTTTCAGTATTAGGAGCTATGGCAGAAGAGGACAGTAGAGGAAAAGTAGAAGAGAAGCTTGCTTGAGGTGGTGATGGTCGTGGTTCAGGATCTTGAACTCAGTGACCTTCTGCTAGGATTGAATATGTGCCCCAGTGTTCCTGGCATGATTAAACATTTTAATTAAATGGAAAATTTTTCTTCTCATCTTTGTAATTTATTTTACTCTATTTGCCCAGTTTTCTTGATCCTTTTTGTAGGCACGCCATTGCTTTCTTCTCCTTTGATAACCTTGCTCTCCAATCATATAGTCCAAGAAAACCTTACTACTGAAGATACTATAAAGTTGAATTTATAAGTTAAACATAGTGCGATTAATAAGAACTAATAATGAACAATCCCATTACAATGTAAGTTGCATCAATAGGATTTCTTAAAGTAGTCTGTTTTACTCCATGTTTGTAGAGAGGGAAAAACAATGTAAAGTCTTTCACTTCAGTGTGAATCATAATACTCAACTAACTGATGCTTTTTGGTTACAGTGAGAGGTTTCTTTCTTTTTTTTATCATTTTGAAATGTCATCTGTTTAGGGATACTGTTAAGGATTTTTTGTTTGTTTGTTTTTTGTCAAACCCATAATTAACCTTAGTAAAACTAGAACCATTAGAATGTTTATATTATCTTATTTTAATAATTAAGAAATTAATGCATTTTTATATTGTAAAAAATCCTTATTGTTTTTGATAAGTATCCTTTAAATGTTTCCTTAATGTTAATTTGGCTGATTTGTCTTTTATAGCCTGTACTTAATTTAAGGGACCTTGGATTATCTGAATTAAAAATTGGACAGATTGATCGACTGGTAGAAAATTTACTTCCTGGATTTCATAAAGACAAAAGAGTTACTTCCCATTGGCATACGTCTCATGTCTCGGCACAATCCTTTTTTGAAAATAAATATGGTATGTTAATAATTGTTATTTCTAACTTATTGATAATGATTATAATGTATTAGCATTTACTATGAGCCAGTTCTTTTTTGAGGTGGATTTTTTTTTTGTTTAATTTATGCTATAATGTTAAGTGTATAGAAAAATTTTAAAGTACAGATAATTTCTGTATCCTCTTTTGCTTCCTGTAATATTGACATCAGGGCTATGTAAGCCTTTTACCACTGGCCTACATATCCAGTCCATAAATGTCTTTTCTGTGCTACTCCATGGGATTGAACCCTTGACCTCAATGAAGCTGGGCAAGTACTCTTCTTGTTGCACCAAATTATATTGTTAATCCTGCCTCAGCCTCCTGAATGGCTGGGCTTATAGCCATGTGCCAAATGTGATTTGGTTTGTTTTTTGTTATTTTGTTTTGTTTTTTTTTTCTCCCTGAGACAGGGTTCTCTGTGTAGCCCTGGCTGTCCTGGAATTCACTACACAGACCAGGCTGGCCTTGGACTCAGAGATCCACCTGCCTCCTGGGTAATGGGGTTAAGTTAAAGCCAAGTGCTACCATCACCCAGATAAGAGCTGGATGCTGGAGAGATGCCTCAAAGGTTAAGAGCACTGGCTACTCTTCAAGAGGTTCTGAGTTCTGTTCCCATCAACCACATGGTGACTCATAACCATTTGTAATGAGATTTGCTGCTCTCTTCTGGCATGCAGGCATACATGCAGGCAGGGCACTGTATACATGATTTTTAAAAAATTTCACATACCTGTTTCAAATTGATGGAAAAACATGTTTTAAAAATCAGTATAAATTATGAGTCTGAGAATAAAGGACTAAAAGAATATAAGAGTAAGGAAAAAGGACGATTTAAGGTTTGAGGGCTTAGACTAGCAGTCTGAATCTCTTGTCATTAGACTTCCTAAATTATTTGGCCCATAGTAAATCTTCAGGAGGACACATTTTTAATTTAATGGTTTTGTTTTTTTGAGAGGGTTTCTTTGTGTAGCCCTGGATGCCCTGGAACTAGCTCTGTAGACCAGGCTGGCCTTGAACTCAGAGAGATTCACCTGCTTCTGCCTCCTGAGAGTTGGGATTAAAGTTATGCCCCACCACTGTCCAGCTTACTTTAATGTTTTAATACTCTTATTCTTCTAATCTGCATTTTTACAATATAAGATTCTTCATACTAAGAGGTAATTGCTCCACTTAGGCAATCTCAGATATTAGAAATGAGTTTCTTAGTTGGACTCTCAAGAAATTTTTGCAAAATAAACTTTAAGGCTAATTGGGACATAGAAACAGAATACTAAATAGTGAGGAATTGGGACTGGGGTGCTTGCTATAAGGCCTTGGGTTGCAGGGCTGGCTATCAGAGAAAACTTTCTTATGCTTTGCAGTTCTAGATACTTTTTTTTTTTTTTTTTAAAGACAGGGTCTCCCTGTGTAGCTTTGCCTATCCTGGAACTCACTGTGTAGACCAGGCTGGCCTTGAATTCACAGAGATTTTCTTGCCTCTGCCTCCGGATCTCTGGATTAAAGACAATTATTGCCAACACACCTGACTTTCCTCTAGATTCTTTTAAGTCAGGTTAGAAGCTGCATTTGCTGTGTTCTATGCTATCATTAGAGCTTTGAAATGGTCTTAAGCAATAGCAGTTCTTTATCACTCTATCCTTTCAATAAAAGAGATTGTTTTTCTTGTTTTTACTTCTACTGATTTGAATTTAGTTTCATGGGCAGCTATAATCACATGCCAGAGAAAAATAGTAATCTAAGTGATAGTGAAATGAGGAACTATGAGATATAAAGTAGTTATATTAATGCATCAAATGTCTTTTTAAAAAAGGTTTATTTATTATGTATACACTGTTCTGCCTACATGTATCCCTGCATGCCAGAAGAGGCACCAGATCTCATTACAGATGGTTGTGAGTCACTCAGGACCTCTGGAATAGCAGGTAGTGCTCTTAGCCTCTGAACCATCTCTCCAGCCCATTAAATGTCTTATTTTTTTTAAAAAATTATACTGTGGATGAATACTATCTGAAACTCATGTTTTATGATTTTCTACTATTTATAAATTTATATTTCATACAATTTGTCATGTGTTTTTGCTCTTGGCTTGACAATTAGACAATAACTTCTTGCAATTTCCTTCCAGGTCACTTAGATATGTTCAGTACACTACGTTCCTCTAGCTTGTACAGACAACACCCAAAAACTCTTCGAAGCATTTGTTCAGATCTTCAGTGTTTTCCAGGTATGAAACAACTGTATTTATTTTGAAAAGCTTGATATGTATATTTAATAATACTTGTGGACCTTCTCACATCAATCATTAAGCCAAGACCTGAAGACGTGCTTCCAGGCCAGTCTTTGATGACATTTCCTCATTTGGTTCTCTCTTCCCAGGTGACCCCAGTTAATGTCAGTTTCCAAAAACCTAGCTAGTAACCTGATTGGTGATATAATAAACACTTGAAAGATTGCCAGAAAAGGGCCAATCATAGAGCAAATGTAGGAGTTAACTTTTAGGCTATGTTTAGCAACAAACACCTTTCCTTATAAATAGTCTTTGAATGTGTTTGGGGGAATCTACTTTTGGAGATTTTTGGTTTGAGCATTGATACCAAAGAAGAAAAACAACTTTACTTTGGATTTGAATCATGTATATACACTTCACATAATTTGTGATTTGTAGTTTCAGTACATTATTGCTTTGTTAGTATTGAGGAAACAGATTTGCTATCAGTACCAGCCACTCTAAGCTTATTTACAAATAGAAATGGTTATTACAGATTATTTATTTACACATAGTTACTGTCATGATTTTTGTAAATGTGACATTAACTAGGGCCATCTGGAAACAGACCTCAAATGAGAAAATGCCTTCATAAGACTGGTTGGGTGGCAAGTCTTTAGGTATCGGCTTAATGACTTGATGTGAGAGGGTCCAGCCCACAAAGTAATGCTGGATTGTATGAGAAAGACAATACTTTCTTGTAGCCTAATGTAGCCTAAAAATTTCAACCAAAAAATACAACACCCTCAAAAGTCTTTAATGTAAGCTAAAAAATTACAAATGACCATTAAGCTGAATGTACTCTGTTGTATTCCTTAATGTCTGTGAGTAGACAGATGTTTCTGTCCTGCTCAGCCTTGCAGCTGTCCAGTCCCAAATAAACACACAGAGGCTTATATTAATTATAAACTGTTTTCTTACAACTTAAAATAACCCATAATTCTTATCAATGTTTAGCCACGTGGCTTGGTACCTTTTCTCAGTAAGGCATTTTCATCTTGCTTCTTCTGAGTCTGGCTGGCGACTGGGTCTCTCTCTGCCTTCTTCCCAGAATTCTCCTAGTCTGGTAGCCCCTCCTATATTTTCTGCCTGGCTACCGGCCAGTCAGCGTTTTATTAAACCAGCATGAGTGACAAATCTACCAAATCTTTACAGTGTACAAGAGCATTATCTGCATCACCATAAGGTGAACAAACTCTGTTTCTAGAATGTTTTGTTTATTTGACACCATGCCTCACGATGTAGCCTAAGTGAGCTTTGAGCTCATGGTCTTCTTGCCTTATCTTCCTCTCGGAGCTGGGATTGTAGGCACATTCTAGTTTACCCAACTTGGAATACTTTTTATAGGAAGAGGATGGGTGTATATAACCTTGCGTGTACTCTAGGCATTAGAAAGTATAGAAGATTGTGAACTTCAGCCCAGCTTGACTATGTAATCTGTCCATGTTTCAGAAGCTTAAAAAATAAAAAAGTAAAAGAAAAATGTGTATGTGCAGGCAGGCAGAGTAGTTAACAGAATTATTAAGAATGATTATGTTGGAAAATAGATCAAAGATTTGATACTTTTTGGTACTTAAAATATTTTGTAGCTATTGAAGAAAACTTAAAGAGTTAATCAATTTCAATAATTTAGCTTTTTTTTTTGGAATATCACAGTTTGTTACTGTTTTGTTTTCTACATTGTAAAAGCCTTTTTTTTTTACCAACATGAAGTCAAATGTTCAATGTTCTTGAAAAAGAAGTAGAAAAAGGTGAAGCATAATAAGTGTTAGCCAAAATAACTATCTCTAGAACTTAGATATTAATTAGGAAGTCCAGTTATGGGTCAGATGTTACACTTGGTCATTTCCTCTTGCTATAGCTACCAAGTAACTGATACTGTTTTGTTCAGTTTTCATACAGTCTCGGGGTTTTAAAACTTTGAAATCAAGAACACGGCGGTTACAGTCTACTTCTGAAAGATTAGCAGAAGCACAGAATATAACACCATCATTTGTGAAGGTAATTAGTTCTTTGTGGTTTAGAAAATAATAACGTATGGATATTGAAACATCAAAAACATTAAATATTTTATTTTATTTTTTTGTTGATGTAGCCCCCCCCTCTCCTGTCTACCCACACTAATTAAATAACTTGTGTAATTGTTGTGTCTATAAATCTTTAAAAATGTTTTCTTATTCTGGACAATGCTGCATATGTATACAATGAAATATGGTGTCTACCCCCCCCTCTGCTTTCAGTAACCTTTATATCTCCCTCAACATATCCACCTCCTAAATTCATGTCTTTAATTTTTTTTTTTGTAAACTACGAACTTCAGTTAGTGCTGTTCATATATGCAGGGGTGTAGGAGAATCCCCTAGAGCTTGAGAATTCTACCAGTGGCCACATCCTCAAAAAAGAGTAATAGCTACTCAGTAAAGGGTGGGCCCTGGAGATCGTCTACCCCACGTGTGTCAGAAATTTGGTTGGCTTGATCTTGTGCAGGTCATTTCATTTGCTGTGTGTTCATGAAAGTTATAACCATTTCATACCTGGAAGACAACATTTCACAGCATTCCTCCTTATGTATTGGCTCTTAAATTCTTCTGCCTTGTCCTCCATATTTCCGAGCCTTGTTGGAAGAGGGGTGAGTTTGATATAGAAGTCCTGCCTAGGGCTGAACAATCAGTCTATTATTCTTAGGACTTTTACTAGTTTTGCATTGCTTCATTGACTACAATTGTGCAGTGCAAAAAAAAGCTCACCAAGGTTGAAAGCAGGCCAGGTATGTGGGTATAAACATAAATATTTAGAATGCAGAGTTGGTGGCACATGCCTTTAATCCCAGCACTTGGGAGGCAGAGGCAGGTGGATCTCTGTGAATTCGAGGCCATTCTGGTCTACAAGGGAGTTTCGGGATAGCCAGGTTTGTTACACAGAGAAACCCTATCTCGAAAAATGGAAAAAAAAAAAAAAAGATCAAAATAAAAATAGCAGATGTCCCCTAGGAACTATAACCATTCCAGCCATGGGTTTTTTGACTAGGATTACAGTACCAGGCATGGAATTCCCTTCTGTGCAACAGGTCTCAAGCTCAGAAAGAGGTTAGTTACTCCATTAGCAGTCATGCCACTATTACACTAGTAGGCATTTTTCTATGTCCTGTGTCCAAGGTGTAGGTGTCTTTAGCAATTGAGATTTACCATGTAGTTGTGGTAGGTAACCAAGAATAGTGGCAGTAGCCTGTGTTGTTTAAAAAACCCTAAGGCCTCCCTGATGGATAATGTAGAGAGGTCTCTCATGCCTCATGTGACTTAGTTGCTTATATATTCTGAGAATTGCATTGTCCATCCATGCAGGATGTTTCCATTTGAGCTGTTTTTTAAAGTTGTATTTTGAAATTAGCATACTAGCTACTGGTTTTTCATAAGCCTTTTGCATAGTCCTTAGTTTTGGTTAACCTACCAACAACTCCCTCCTCTCCCCCATCCACTTGCTCATATCTGGTTAAGTCTTTAATGTCCACTACCCCCCCTTCCTTCATTTCACATGCGTTCTATTATACCTCCAAATATTTTTATTTGACCTGTGAGATTATGGCTTTTCGTATATCCTTCCTTTGTGTTATCCCTCCTTCCATTTCTGGGGTTGGTTAAAGCCTTTGTGCCGCCAGTATTCCTCCTATCTCCTTCTATAGTCTACTTCTATAGACTACTTCTATAGACCTATAGTCTACTTACTCTCCTTAAGGTTTGTGGTTGTTGTTCTTTTCCATCTCCCTTCTCCCCAAAAGGCCCCTTTCTGGTTTCTTGGTTTCTACTTGGGCTTCACGTTAAATACACAAAACAAAAGATTTGAAGCTAGAATCTTTGTATGAGATAACATGGCATTTGTCTTTCTGGGTCTGTTACCTTAGCACAATTTTTTTCCAGTTCCATGTATTTAACTACAAATTTCATTTCCCTTTACAGCTGAGTTCATTGTGTAAATGAACCATATTTTTCTTTTTCTCTTGAGATATGGCTTCCTTATATATTCTTGATTATTCTGGTACTCAATATGTAGACCAGGCTGGCATTGAACTCAGAAGATATTCACCTTTTTTTGCTTCTCAAGTTCATACACTACCATGCCCAGTCCACATTTTTCTTATTCATCCATTTATTAACAATTAGATTGATTCCATTTCCTTGCTATTGTAAGTGGAATAGTAATGTACATGTCTCTGTTGTAGGATAGAAAGTCAGTTGGGTATATGCCCATGGTATAGCTCAGCCATGTGGCAGTTCTGTTTTCTGTTTTGAGGAGTCTCTAGATGGATACAGAGTGGCCATATTAGTTTACACTTCCAACAACATTGTGTAAGAGTTCCTCTACCCCACATTCTCACCAGCATTTGTATTTTGTATTCCTCAAATTTTAAAGTAGTTTTAATCCCCCCTCCTCTCCTTCCTCCCCCCCTCTCTCTCCTCTCTCTCTCCCTCTCTCTCGTTCTCTCTCTC